AACGAAATAATTTACAACTCGCTAGTACGAGCACAGCTGTAGCCGTACAGTCGTCTCTCACATAGTAACGTGACAGCGGATGCGGCATGAGTTCGACATAGTTGACGGGGAAAGGACTCAAGATCGAGCATCAAAGAAACGAAATAATATAAAATAATAAAAACAACTTAATACTAGAGTAATTACGGCGTCGTTTTGCTTGTCACTTGTTATTCACTGTAGGCATTAGTTGTCTCACCAACAGATAGTCGAAAAGGCCCATACTAGCGCGGCAGCGGATGCGGCATGAGTTCGACATAGTTCGCGGGGAAGAGGCCGAAGGTGCCGTGTGGTCCTAGCCCTTGCCACCAGCCGGGGTCGATTTGCTCGATGTGCGTTATTATGTCGCCCGGGTCGAACGTTATCTCGGACTCGTCCGCTGCAATTGTAAGTTACAATTTTTGGAACAACAAAAATAGGATACGATAATTATATATTATGATAATTGCACACAATGGCCATTTTTGAAAATTGATCTGTCATATATATGTTTACAACTTTTAACCGATTTCAAAAAAGAAGGAGGAGGTGCTCAATTTCACTGTATGTTTTTTTTTGTGTGTATATTACGGGTTAACAGCATTTGTGAATCAATTTTGATTTTTTAGTTGGAAAGAGGGTATCTCAGTAGTGGTCCCATTTAAATTTGAAGAAAATATTCCCCCTCTAAGGATGGCAAACTAGGGAATGAATCCGGTTTCGTGCAATTTCCGGTAACCGATTTCGATAAAACTTGGTAAATGGATGTAATTCCAGGAAAGTTTGAGGTTGGTTTTTTTTAGTACTTTGTACTGAGATTATTAAACACGACTACAGTATAATTTGCGACCGTATTGAACAAGTAAAAACGCTACTCCATTTGAATTGTATAATCAAAAGTCGGAAAACGACTTGTCGGTTGTCCTAAACAAATAATTTAAAAATTAATACCTGCTTGATAGTCGTAAAGAGCTCTCGCCGTAAGACCGGGATCGTCGTCCAGGTCTTCGTATATTGTGCCTTCGTCTTCCAAACCTTCCGGAGACACATCTATGAAATTTCATAAAAATGTTTAATTTTTTCATTTTTTTTAATTTATGTTCAGGTTACAAAAGACCCATAAATACATACCTTGTAGACTAACATACATAATAATAATAATAAAATACTTAACACTATTAATTATTTACACGTATGTTATATTTGTGTATTAATATTTGTGTCAATTCATTTCAATTTTATAATTATGTTTGTGACATAAGTATGTTCTACAAAAGGAAATGTTACGAATTCATTATGAGGAAACGTTATGCAATAACACATAAGGGCGCGTTCCCATTATGTCGTAACGTTTTATTTATCGTTGGACAAATGTCGCATCTAGCCTGTTCCCATATAACGATTATCTGTCGTGACTGCGTCGTGAACGTTTATTTTAAAACGACTATCGTATCTAGCTGTTCCCACTAGATCGTGACAACAATTTATCGGTTCACGGCAGCCGCCTTGTCGTTTGCACGACAGAATCGTTTCAAGCTGCGATTATCTGTCGTCACATTTTTATCGTGACGTTTTATTTATAGTCAGACGACGGTCGTTCTAGCTCTTCCCATTGTCACGACAGTCTGTCGTCGTAACGTTAAAAAAGTCAGTTTAAATATACAAGCCACGACACTTTAAACTGCACGACTATCTGTCGTCACGACATAATGGGGACGCGCCATAAGGGTGCCGATGCAGTTACAGGCACATGGGACTTGTTAACTTGTGTTTCTAAGATCGATAAGAATTGTGCGCCTAAGATCTTTTGCGATTAAAAGCTCTTAAGTGGCACTGCAACTGCTGTCAACTTATTTAACTGCTGTAAGTGGATTTGCGTGTTGCTTACCACCAGGCGGACGACTTGGTTGTCCCGTCACTTGGTGTTATAAAAAAAAACAATACGTAAGTACCTATCGCATTTAACAAAGGTTCATTCAATATAGCAAGAGAATACTGTGAAAACACATTGTTTTTTTCAAACATGATTACAACCAGTATGTACATTGATCTACCAACAAATGGACGTCGGGTTCGCGCTAAAAAATTAATTAATATATACAATAAAGACCATTACTCTTGTGTTCAAGTAGTTTTCAGTCGAAGCTAAATAGCAGCAGCATTTTATTAAGTTTCCAGTAGAAGCAGAATACGGTGTTTTTGGGCACTTAAATTGTTGCAAGCAAAATTAGGCAGTACTGCAATGAGATTTAAATTCCAATATCAGACACTAAGGGCTAGTGTCTTATAGTGGAATTTGAATTAAGGTTGAAATCTGAACGCGCTGTTGACAATCCGAGTGGATACCTTCACGGAGAATTTCAAATTATTAAGTTAAAATATCTTAGACGTTTTAGTAGCAGTAAAGCACCTTGTAAAAGAGTTCGTCCAGGGCAGTACTGCCACCTTATTTGTTTCTGACACGAAGCGGTAATATGCGTTCCGGTTTTGCAGACTAAGGCCGCATATTCGTAACGGTGGTGTGTTCGATCGAATGGTGCGTTCAGCGGGGCGTTCAAGGCTTGCGTGTGCCACTCAGAGCTTTAACTCGCAAAAGTTTGAGGAGCGCTAACACTGCGCCAGTCTCAAGTCTCATGCGCCCGAATTTCACCAACACCCTTACCCTTCAAAACCGGAACGCAGTAATGCTCACACTACTGCTTGGCGGCAGAAATGGATAGGATCGCAGTACTTCCCTGGACGAAGTCTTCACTTCGTCACAAGGACCTCTACTGCCGCTAATAAAGCAAAATATTAATAATAAAATTTGTGTAAAGTCCCCAACGCGAATCGCCTAAGAGGAGATCCGTACCCAGCAGTGAGATATATAAATTAATGACGATTATTATTGTTATATAATGTAACATCCAACTTACCGTCTAACGTAGTAGTGCCGTTCTGCTCCTTCTTGTAATGTACATTTTCTATGACAGTGTTCTGTCTACTCAATTCCCGTTCACTCTCTTCAACAATATTGTTCTTACTGTATGGTGATCTTTTAATCGTACTAAACTTATTATCACTATCATCGTCATCATTTTCATTTGAACTTGAATAGGACGCGTCGAACATATCATTTTCAAGAATATTCTGTTTTATCATTGGCTCACTTTGTTTTAAATCATTTATATCTCTGTATGTGTCGTTTTGTTTGTATTCAGTGTAATTGATGGCACTAAACGATCCAGGGTCATTTTCTGTACTGGGACTCAGGTCTGCGGGGTCAATGATCGGTTCGTACTGGATCTGTGATGGGCTTTCTAGACTCATTTTGATCTTGTCTATGTTTTTCAAAGGACTAGTTTTGGGTTGTTCGCTTTGGGTGTTGGGTAGCGTGATTTTTTCTTCAGGCGATTTGACTGGTGATTTGATCTCTGGGGGTGATTTGGTTGTTGGTGATGAAGCTTGTGGATTGGTGAACGTGTTAATTCGTTGTGCTATCACTGAACTGCGGACTGGCTTTTCTGGTATGCTTGTTGTTCTGTAAAAGAAAAAAAATTACATACTATGGTTATACAATAGCCGTGGTATCTTAAAGGTTTCATCTACCGCCTCTCAAGCAGAGGGTCGTGGGTTCTAATCCGGGCTTGCACATCTAGGTATTTTGGGATTTATGTCCAAAATTCAATTTAAAATTGACCATGAGCTTTTGTTCAATATCAAAGGAAGGAAAACTTAATGACCATATGGTACTGGCTGACTTCTCTCGGTCTACAGTATTTATGCTGAGGCAGGGCCATTTTAGCACAAACTGTAGTCATAGGTACATTAAAATTTTATCAGTTCTTATAGTATTTGTTTGTTTTCCTCACAGTATTTGTTTTTCTCGCAGTATGTGTTTTATATAAATTTGAATGTTCTATGTGAAAAAATGAATGTTCTATGTGCTTTTATGTTATACTCTGTGAAGTGATTGTAAATGTTTTGTTTCTGTTTGTATTTGCGCTGAATAAACGTGTTATCTATGTATCTATCTATCTTAATGAGGAAAACCTGCACACATATGGTTAAGTAAGCGAACGAATGTCTCTAGAAACGTAGCTTGGGCGTAACGTAGCAGTAAACATAATAATACTGACAAATGGTGAACCCCTTTTTTTCTTCACGATTCTCGATATGTAATCGACTTAAGTGGTTTTGTAAGTAGTAACGTTACATGTAATCGGAGTAGAAATGCAGTAATTTATAATAATCCCGAGCGCCATTTTAGCGCTCACAGTACCCTAACATTTGGAAACGGGAATAAACGCGTTCACATACGGATAGGTATTTTTCACATCTAGTTAGTTTACCGACGTTTCGGCCAGGTTGCACCTGACTGGTGATGCGGTGTTTACATCAGTGTTGGGCGTTAATCAATTAAATTTCAATCAGGAATTCAATCAGATTAAAAAATCAATTCAATTACATTAATTGCAATTAATTTTTTTTGTTGTTGAAACAATTGAAACTAACAATTAAAACCGAAAGTACCGAATAAGTGTCATTATGAATATGGGTTAGGGGGTGGGTTGGGTTAGTGAGTGGGTCAGAGGGTGGGCTAGGTGTTGGGTTAGGGGGTGGGTTAGTTGAGTTAGGGGATGGGTGAGCGGGTGAGTGTGTTAGGGGGTGGATTGGGTGGTGGATTGGGGGTGTGTTAGATGATGAATTATTGGGTGGGTCAGGGGCTGGGTTAGGGGGTCGGTTACTCCGTTACCCTGACCCACCCCCTAACCCACTTCTGACCCCCAACTCAAACCCTAACCCACCCCCTATATTATTCGCAACTGACAATTAATTAGTCAATCTTTAATTGCCAGGACAAATAAATTTTGCCCAACACTGGTTTACATCTCCATCTCGCCGGTGGAATCTTCATTCACTCGTCACCGTCGGAGTCACGCATCACGATAGCCTGTTCTTTTGTTAGAGTATAAACGTCACGTTAGCTGCACCCGCGCACCACCACCCGCAGACGACCCAGCAACACTCGAGAGATCGCACGTTATCTGTCATAACGGTCCTACGACGTATTTTTAAAACTTTTAATAAAAATGGAAGTAAATGAATTTGCTACTCCGCGAACCCGGTGAAGGTCAAATCGTGTAAATTTTCTGAGCTTGTAATACCTATTAGGTGAATATTTTCCGAGAGTACTGACCTGCCGGACATCTGTCCCTGCGCCAAATGCTGCTCGAACTTGGCCCTGGCGGCTGCGGTAGAGCCGATCAGCTGCTTGGCTTCCATCGAGCGCGAGCGTCGCGCCACCTCCGCCCCGCGCTGCCCCTCCATCGCTTCGGGGATGGCCGGTCTGACAACAACCAATCAATGACCAACGTTCGACAAAAGAGACTGTTCCTGGATGAATGACAGACTAAATTACAAAAGGCCAATTTATGTTGGCCTTGACGACTGTTTCTGTATGATTGACGGACTAAGTCGCAAGTCGCCAATTTCTGTTGGCCTCTAACGACTGTTTTTGGATGGTTGACGGACTACGTCGCAAATTGGCAATTTATGTTGGCCAGCGCGACTTAGTGACTTTTCGCTCTACGGCGACGATATTCGGGTAACGTTCAGTTGTTTTCTCCATATAATTTCGGAGGCAAATTTTATTACTATTAAATTGTAACCAAGGACCAAGTGATCGGGTGGACAAGTCGGGCGCCTGGTGTTAAGCGACGCGTCTGTCCATAACAGTTTCAGTGCCACTCAGAGCTTTAAATCACAAAGATTTGAGGAACACTGCCACTGCGCCTGTCACACTGAGACATAAGTTGACAAGTCACACCAAGTATTTCACCAGCACCCTTAATCTTCAAAACAAACTGTTTATTAGCGTGTAAAAAGGCTAAATTGTAATTAGTTATAACGTTTTGTTTTGCTTTATAACAAATTACAGAAAAAAATCAAGTGACAAGGACGGTTGCACGGGATTAATTTTGACCTTAGAAATATCCAAGTTGTAACGTTCGGGTAAAAAGGAACTCCGATTGGTTAGATTGAGTAACACATAATTTACCGGTGAGTGCTCTTAGAAAATCTCGCCAATGCGAAGAGAATCACTCAATTGTCATATATGAAATATCCTAGAAATGTAGAGTCATTATTCTTTTGTTTCAACTTTGTTTTGTATTTTATGCATAGTAACGGTTTTAGTAAGATTATCCATAACATCATTTTATATTTCTAGCATATGCCCTTTATTAGTGTCTCATTTCCTATATGACTTACACCTGCGAAGTGATTTAATATAACAATGTAGATAATGGGTCCGTCAAATCGTTAATATAGATAAAGAATAACATAGGTTCTGGTACCTGACCCTTGCAGAACACCTATCCCTAATTTTCTAAAATCAGACTTAACGCCATCTACCTTTACATAAATATTGAATTATATGTATACCCAAGGACAATTAAACTTCGTTCCTAAAGTTCATATTAATAATTAGAAACCATCCTCTGAAATATTGTGAAATAAATATTTATCAACTTATAGATAATACAAAATAAATTCTTACTTTTCTTGTTCGGCTTTTGCCCTTCTAGCAGCTTCTAACTCATCTCTTCTTCTAACATCTTCCTCTGCTTTCTTCTTCTCCTGAAAATCAAGTTTCACACAATATAGTTTAGTCATAAAATACTTTACGTCTAATAATACAAGAACTATTATACTTGAGTTTAGTATAATAATAATAATAACGCACACACTCATAAATAGCTCCGCACTAGGAAAACCCTATCGCAAGTGCCATGGACACACATGAATAACAACAAATTACATCCTAACTCACGAGAGGAACAAATAAAGGCCATACAAATATTTATCCCGGCCCGGGAATCGAACCCGGGAACTTTGCGTGGCCGACAAGTCGACCACGAAGGTAGTTGAAATATAATTGTATTATAATAAATAGTTATATTAACATTATTATACTAGCGTGGCGTAGATCTTCTCCTTGAAGGTGTGCCCAACATTCGGGTTTACAATTGGTTAACGATGATAAAGAAACAATGGCGAACTCCCATATAAATTTTTGTTCACATATAAATATGTGAAAATATAGAGTTGAAATTCCTGAACAAATTATGTTCTGGGTTTACTATTCTGAGAAGTCTGGAATTAAAGATATTCCAGCCTGAAGTTTTGGAGGTTGTTTTACATAATTGAATACGTAATTTAGGTATATTAAATATTACGATTGCAATCTTAACATCGTATTATGTATCGTTTCTTTAATTTCTTAATTTTTATTTACTGTTGTGATGCCTTTACAGCAATAAAGATATTTCTTTTCCAAAGTTACTGTTCAAACAACGTTAAAGCCACTGACTGAGTTATTTTAACTTGTGGCTTTAGAAAAAGTGCAAATCAATCGAATTTTACATTGCACAGGCATGTGTTATTTTTTTGTCTATAAATCACACAATAGCCCAAATATTTCATGTAATTAGACTTATTTAAGTAGTTAATTATAAATCTTGCCAAATTTTGCTTTTGTTACTTTAGATTGCCTGTTTCTTTGTATATTTTGATAATTGTTGTTAACGATTATTTTGACATAGTGTTGATCTTGTAAGCATACATATTGTCGATATTCTGTTATTAAAACAATTCACTACGAAGTTTTTATTGTTTTATTATTATTATTTTTATTATTTCAAGTTTTCCTACAAATGAAAAAAGGAAGACAGAATGGTTGGAAATCATAGGACTGCCGAATATAAACGTTGGATCAAAGACCATCTTCATTTGTTCGCTTCATAAGAGTCAAATTTAACAGAACTCTAAATGTAACTAGATTACATGACAATGCTATTCCATCATTAGGTTTATTGGTAAATAATTTTATGTTCAATTTAGATTAAACAAGACTCATTTACTAGTTATTCTCAGTTCCTGAAAACAAAATTATCCACTCGTTTCTGATTTTTCCCAATGACAACTCTAACTATTAAAAATGACTATTTTTTTAAAGCCTGCAATACAATGACATGTTAGTCCAACGTTGCCGGGTAAAGGCCAATACCAACGTATAGACAGCCTATTTGCCTTGCCTTGCCATCGTTCGGTTTAATAATAATATACCACTCGAGATTAAATTATTAGACTTGTTTGTTTAGGCATACTTTGGTTACAGTAAATTAAAGAGAAAAAAAACAGTTTCAGCATTCAAGCCATACATTTGCATGTCGATAATGACTTATCGATAGATTATGGTACAACACTAAAGAAATCCGCCATTTGTAACTTTCAAACTTTGGTTATAAGCACGTTGATTCTGTGGTTAGGGCAGCTCCTTTCTTTTATTTTTTTTTCCATCCTCTAAGCATTACCGCCACAAAATTACGTCAACCCCACTGTCTAAAGTCATGTTAACTCCATCGTCCAATTTCACCGCCTCAGTTACGTCAATGTCACAGTCTAAGTTACATTCAAGCCGCTCTCTATGTAACCGTAACGCCAATGTGTAAGTTACGTTAACTCCAGTGTCTAATTGACATTAACGTCACTGTCGAAGCCGCCATCACCGCTAAGTTTACTTAAACTGTTCAAACTAATTATAATACTTATATATCTGGATTAATTGGGCATGTCAGCTAGGTTACTAAATTTTCATAGATTCATTAAAAAGGAATTCGAACTTCACCTCTTCTCTTCGTTTTCTTTCAGCTTCCACACGTTTCCTTTCCTCCAGTTCCTCTTTCAACCAAAACTGATCCCTCTCCTTCGAGTTGATTTCCTGGACTGCAAACACAATTGCTCTATTAAATATAATGTCATTTATCACAGAAATAACAACTTCAATAAAACTTTACTTTCAATTTTACGTAAACTCTGTCTCCGTTTTTGTATGTCTTGAATTATTTTATAAGAATGCGTAAGTCGCGAATAAAGAGTTTGTGTAGCTACCGTGGTGGTCATTTGTGCGAAAATTCACACTACCGCTAACAAAGAAAGTGAGTACCAAATGCCAATAGTATGTACAATAATGAAGTATGCTTAGATTGTATGAACTTTCCTGAAGATAAACAGTCTTTTGTCTTCGCTGACGACTTTTGTAAATATAACATTCTATGAGTAACCTCAATCAGCAGACACATTTTATTTCCGTCTTTATTTAAATAAATAACATTAATTGTTTCTTATTATTAATATATATTTTGTAGTGATGTAGCTTTGATACAATAAAAAATGGGATTAAATGAGAAAATAATAATATGAAAGACAAGTAACGCAAATGTTATAATATTGGAAAAAAAAGTTATAAAAAAATACATAATTCATTTTGCGAAAACATAGGTTGTATAGAAGCTGGCATGCAACAGAATAAGCATAGTTTCACTGTGTCAGGTCAAACATTAGGCATACATATATATTGAAGGTGTAATATATTAACTCATATGCTAATTCTCAATTGGACTGTTGTTTTTCTTTGTCTATTACGCGATGACTCCGCCATTTGTGAGCCGATTTCGATGATTTTTTTATTGTTGGAAAGGGGTTACCTCAGTAGTTGTCAAATTGAAGAAATATTCCACCTCTAAGGATGGCAAACCAGGGAATGAATCCGGTGTGGTATAGTATGTTAGTACTTAGTTATAGTTAAGTATATTATGTAGTGAAAAGGTAAGGTTAGTTAGTAATAAATGTATCGTCGAGAAGTACACTCGTTTCCATTTCGTCTGCAATCTTCCCTACAACCGCTCACCTCGTGACGACCCTGCCAGCGCCCTGCGAGCGCGAGTGTGTTTTGCGTACGTTGTATTTTTAAAATAAAACAATATGAGTCATTCGAGACTAAACTTTTGTGCGGACAACACACGTCCAACCTCGCAAAATGGGGAAACATTGTTGATATTGCATTTGCGACAATAAGGAAGTAATGATGAATCAACACGGAACTACAAACGAATCCGAGGCTGAAGCTACAACACATGTTGGTGTAAACAACGTGCTTCTGTCGGTGACTGTGACGCTATGTGGTGCTGCAACCCTGTTTCTGATGTATAGGCAATATAATAACTGCCATAAGAAGCTAGTTCGAAATGAACTGAGGGAGAACACCTTTCGACGAATCCGTTTGAGATCGTTGGGGCGCGGTGATAGTTCGGATGAACGAAATGGAGATGAGTGTACTTCTCGACAATACATTTATTACTAACTAACCTTACACCTTTCACTACATAATATACTTAGCTATAAGTAAGTACTAACATACTATACCACACACCGGTGTATTGAGTTTTATCCACTTTTCGTTAGCGGATTTCAATAAAACTGACAAATAGATGTAATTAACTGCCTCCGTGGCCGAACGGTTACTTTGCTGGACTGCCATGCAGAGGTCCTGGGTTCGATTCCCACACTGGAAGCAATATTTGTATGGCAAACAATTATTTATTTCGTGAGTTTGGGCGTAATGTGTGTGTGTACATAGCACCCGCGACACGGGGTTTCCCTAGTGCGGGGCTATGCGTGGGCGTTATTGTTGCCATGGACACTCACATAGACCACCGCAAATTACACCCAAACTCACGAGAGAAATTAATGTAGGCCATACAAATATTTCTCCCGGCCTGTGAATCCAACCCGGAACTTCTGCGTGGCAGTCCCAGCATGGTAACCGGTCGGCCACGGAGACAGTAGTCCCGGATGGTACCGTTCGACGAAAACAGTTAATCAAAAGGATCAAGGCGGAATAACCAAAATTACTCATACAATACGACAAAACAAAAAGAAAATGCAAATGAATAATAAAACAAACAGGTAAATGAGTCTATGGCTTAAGCCTGCGCATATATTGTCATAGGGTCGTATTCTAGAACTCTTCTCAATGCTCAAGTCAGGACTTGAGTATGATTCAAAGCACTAGAAATCATACTCAACTCCTTGCCATTAGGGTCGTAATTCCAGTGCTTGAAATCATACTCAAGTCTGCTCAAATCCTGACTTGAGCATTGAGTAGAGTTCTGGAATACGACCCTATGATTCACCTAAATCAAAATCACTGATATTAATTCTACACCAACATATAAATACAAAACAGCTTAAACTATTTGTTAACCTTTCAAAAAAATCTAATATCAGTCTTGAGATTGGAAATGTATAGAGGAAATTTCCTGATTTACATTATTGATGACTTGAGCATTGAGTAGAGTTCTGGAATACGACCCATAATCTGTAATAATTATTACACATTAAAAATAAAAAAAACCCAGTCATGGCAGCGCATGAAATGACACAATTAAAAATGTAACATATGGAAGAAAGGATAAGACACAAATTAAAAAACACCTGTATCCCTGAATTGCATACCAAACACCATTGTAAATTAATTCCTATTGATAATTCGAAACACCATTTGTAATAAGCCAAACCTAGGTAATCAGGGTGTCGATTCAGAGCCTTACAATAACTCAGTTGTCGACCGATTTGATTTGATACCGTACGATTTCTTTTCATTTTTATTCACAACACCAGAACCGAACGTCAAATTGTCGTATTGGAAACTGGGGGTCTACTCTCGATCTCCGTCCGACATCCGTCCGAAACAATTACTGCCAAATAAGCAATACTTGACCAAACGAAAAGACGCGTGATGCTAATGAAGCTTCACACTTGATACTTGTATTTTAATTTTGTCGAATATTACTTATTTGACAGTACTTGTTTCGGACGGATATCGGACGGAGATCGAGAGTAGACCCCCTGAACCGAAATGACGTCACACACGTACGATTACACTAACTTCTCGACCGGCAAAGACTACATACGTTATTCAGGACACAGTTATCGAATGAAAATTACCGAACGTCCTATTGTTTACAAAGCAAGAATTAATATGAAAATCTCTTATTATTTTAAATACAGTCTGGATTTTATATATTTAATGCAATACCTATAATTTAGGCTTTTAAAGTCTTAAAAATGTATATTAAAAGATTTCCATTTTTTTTATAATCTATTTCACGGGCTAACTCCGTAAATGCTGTTAGATATCGATATCGTATCCGGATAGATCGGAAAGCGCCCTTCAATTCGAGAACGATATCCAATCCAACGATTAGATTAAAATATCAAAGAATCGGGGTCCTGGTTCAAATGAATGCATTAAAAGAATTAAAAGACACCATGCCGAATGGCCTTCCAAATTAATAATCATAGTGTTTAATTTTATGGGAACGTGAAGGGTCACGTCAATCAGGTGATTAAGATGATAATTTAATCATTTGACACTAACCTGGATTAACCTTTGTATAAGCGGTTCCTACTGGTCCACTAGGCGGCAACTCCTCTGGCTTACTTGACGTAAAATTATATGTTGACCCAGCCTTGGCAAGGTTATCAAGTATAACGTCCTCGTCAAGGTCGTCTTCGGTCCGGGCGTGTAATAACAGATGGAATCCAGAGAAAAATTGTGAGACATTTTTGATGTGATTTGCACATGTACCTTTGCGGACAGTTGGCGCGCCTTCGCCCTATGGGAACAAATATATATTTGCATTCCTTTCTGTTTAAAATAACGCAAAAGCTTTGGGGGAAAGATTGGTATAACATTCACAATGTTTTAGCAACTCCGCAGGAGACAGTACACAGCGGGAATTTTGTTTTTTCACTGTCTTTACAAAATTGCCAACTTCATGAAATTGTTTTATAAACAAAAAAAAGTGTATTCCCAAAAAGCCATTGAACATAACTTATATACTTAAAATATAGCAATGAAACTGTTAATATAATGGATAACTTAAAAATAACCCTGTTAATTATGTTTCAGAACATCAAGTGTACAAAACTGATGATGTCATTAAACAAATAAACATATGGACATTATCTCAACAAGACAATAATTCTTTATGACCCTACATAAATATAAATTATAGGTATATGTAACATAGTAATCAACATAATTAGCACGTGTAATAATCATAACGCATAGTTATCAAAGGAGAGTTCCTTGGCATTAGTACCTTAGTAAACATTATTATATTTACCGAAATAAGCCAGAAAGTATACGCCTGTTGGTGAACTTGTGTTGTTGTGTTGTTTAATAGATATTAAACATAAAGATGGTGAGATAGAGGTCAAATGCGAATTTTTTGTAAATATTTTTTTGTAAATTTTACATAAAATAGGTATTTGAATATCAATTCAATAAAAATTTAAAATACAGTGAATAGCGACATCGCTATCCGGGGCTGGGAGCCGTAAAGGTATCTAACTGGGTGACGAAATACTTTTATAATTTCTCATAAATGGCGGTACGGCTAAAAAAGTCGTTGAAAAACCAAATACAAAGACACGATAACAAGCAAACAGAAAAATTCGTGAAGTCTGCTGGTTGGTTCCGTGGCTTAGTTGGTATAGCGTCTGGCACGGTATAGTAGAAGGCGTCGGTTCGAATGTGTTCGATCTTTGTATTAGCAATTATAACAAACCAGTGGAGTATAATTTCACATAAAAAATAATTGAATATCAATTCAATAAAAATTTAAAATACTAAATTTTGTTAGGAGCAAGTTTCAATGATTTTAACCCCAAGAATTCATCACAATAATCTTCGATAATCTTTGAAATACATTTTTCCGATACAACAGTGTATCGGAAAAATGTATTTCATAGTCCACTGTGTGTGACTGAGTCTAAGGGTCGTATTCCAGAACCCTACTGGAATACGACTGGAATATTATTTCAAGCACTGGAAATACAACCCTAATAGCAAGGATTTGAGTATAATTTCAAGTGCTATAAATCACACTGAAGTCCTGACTTGAGCATTGAGTAAAGTTCTGGAATACGACCTTTAAACCCATTTGACTGATTTTTTTTTTTTTTTTTTCATTGTATTACATGTGATTTTGTACGATTTGATTTTACAAATAGTATTTATAAAAGAAAAAGATAAAAAAATTGGAGATTATTTTGAAGAATGTTCTGACCTCATATGATGTTCAAAGTGGCTGAATGTATAGTTCCCAGTCGAAGTCGGAACGCTTTTATAAGGATACTTAGAGCCGAGAAGCATTGTAGTAGGCACAAATGGTAATTCAATGTCTGAAGAATTTATTTATCTAATTCTTTGAGTCTCCTGGTGCAATACCAACACGGTAGTTTCCACACGGTGACGCCCACCGCGACAACACACAACGTTATGACTTTAGCATCGCATTTACTTGTATAGAATCGCATGTGACTGTTGTATTGAACCAGGGCTTTGCGACGTAAACTGTGTGATGCTGTGTGTGACTCCATTTAAACCAATACGCTGCTAAAGTCGTAGTGTCGCGTGTCGCCGCAACAGACTACATTCACCTTGCGAGAAATATCTATTACAGTATTCAAGAAATCAACATGTACTTCGACGTATTTAATTGAATACCACATAATATGAATATAAAAGGAAAACGAAAATGGTATAAACAAATTAGAGTATCTACAATACTTGAAAATAAACAATACCTATAATAATATAATTAAAACAATGTTGTCATTTTAAATATTTCTTTTACAAATAACTTTAAGATTACTCTGTATATATAAAGATAAGATTCAGATAAAGTTTTTCCAAAGATGTGAAACAACATAACTGAGCCATATAAGTCTAAGATGGTTATTTCTGTAAATGAATATTACATAAAAGTATTCATATTCAATCAATAGCATAACAAAGATTATATAATGATATGTATATAATTTATTTGTTATTTTATTCCAAATTTACGATGCTTTATTATAAAATATATTAATAATAATCATTGAAAAACTTAATCACACAATTTTCATATAAAAGATTAAAAAGTCTTGTTATCTTATACCAAATACATACCTGCCAATTGATAAGAACGTATTTAGATATGCTCCCATTGGGCACGTCTACCTTGAGGAATGCGTATTGGATTTTGCCACTATTTAAGTCTTCTAAGAGTTCTGTAAGGCCACCATTTCCTTTGCTGATGAACTTTAGGTCGCTTGATAGGCCATCATAGCCAAACAACGCCCTGAAATTGTGTTGGAATTATTATATTATACATTACTGAGCCAATGGTCTCTGAATCAAAATATCAACACCTACGCATTAAACACTGTCTGTAGAAACAATCTGTTATTAGGCGAGAATAACTTCAAATGCTAGTCAGTTCTACACAAATACAAATGTGGTTTCAACATATTCATATCCAGCATCATACTACGCAAGAGAGGACTGCAGATCCTTCCGTGACGCATGTGAGATGCCACAACATCTTCATATACCAGTTACCCACAGATGAACATACTGCCCCTACTAGGGGGACATGTTCCAGCTAGAAGATGTGAAAGCAATCACAAATAAGAAAAGTACTGTTCTTTAACGCTGCTAGTATAGACTATCGAGATGTAATTAGCAGTGTTCACAAAAAAAAAGACAAAAGAGAAGATATAATAAAAAGAATTGTAGAAGAAATTTCTAGATAGTAATATGGTTAAAAATGATCTTAAGGTATTTCAAAAGTATAGCAGGGTCAGATTCAATATGTCTAACATTCTTTGAATTTAAATCTTTCTCTCAAACCACCTTATTCTAAATGAAGTACCTGAAATTTATTACTGTTATTTCGAAGGTTCATTTAAGACCTGTCCTATGGAGTGGAAAATGTGTCCAACATATAGAAGTTTGTTCAAAAACACTATTATAATTCATTAATTTGTATCCTGTATACAAATGATACCCATTTCGTAAGACACACAAGACTAGTATCATACTCGCTATAAGCTTATTATTAATGTTTAATGCTCTGAGACCAGATAGCAATACTTCATTTACTTGCACAAGTTATGCACCTGCATTTGTTACAAATAAGGTCACTACATAATACTCAATAAATGCTCTTATTATAAGAGCAAGTACCAGTTTTTTCTACGACAGTAATTATTGAGAAAATTCAATGAAAACAGTTGCCGTAAAAGGAATGCAATATCAATAAGATATATAAGTGAATGTGCTGCATAGAAATATATTAACGTATTGTGTCGACGATTAAGGGGTTGAAGCGAGTGTCACGCCAATAAATTCAATTCATTGCGCGAATAGCGCCTGTTTATTTAATTTTTACTCCCAAGTAGGTCGCCGCAACAAGAGCTTGTATACGTACCAATTAGTATCACTTTTATCGTCTAATACATCCTTCCACGCAGCTAACAATGTACTTTTGTGTTTATCTAAATTTATAGCCATTTTTCATTATTTGTCACACACCGTTATTGGATCAAATAATAAAAATACGAGGAAAATCCGAATAAAACACCGACAAGCGACTGACTCACAGAGTTCTTGAGCCACAGATAAGAATGAAACGTACAGTGACAGTTCTTGTTGGAGATGCCATTTTAAAAATGTTTTCGTCGTTCGTTACCGGTTTTGTTACAATACTATTATTTCTTGAAAATTTTTTTTCTATCTAAAGGCCTGCTAAAGGCATCAATAGAAACATGATTTTATATTCTTACACATTGTTAGTGGCACTGCTAAAACTAAAACTATTTTTTTTTAATCAAAGTCACCAGTCATTTTATTTAAAACGAAGAAAACGGATGATTCAAATGATAACAATTGCCATTTAAGTTTTCACAGCCATTTGTAAATCTAGATTTTTCACTACAAAATTATTAAATTCAGTGTTTCAAGTGAATCACTTTCCAATTTCATTCTACCAGATAAGAGAAAGTAATTGTTTTTTATTCCACCTCTCGGATAAACTTCTTTCCAGAATCATTAATACAATATGAATATTTCCACGAAAAAAGAGCTAAGTAGCTGAGCATCAGCGGCCAGTATTTTTTGTCTTCGTTCATAGCTCAGCTGTGCTTAGATTTATGCTTTTTGAAATCATACTCAGATCCTGACTTGAGCATTGAGTAGAGTTCTGAAATACGACACTAAACGCTTAAATGTTTTCTACACGATTTTGTTAGCTTCTAACTAAAAAGCGTTTAGCTGTGCTTATTATAATAAATAGCTATATCTTTTACTTTTCTCACGGGAATGATCCTCGGATCCACCATGCTACGTTCAAGATGATATTTATTTATTATAATTTCGAGTTCTTAGGTTTTCGCGATTGTTACATATAGTTGACACGGTTGACAGTCAACCGTGACCATAGGACCTGTAAAGGGCCCGAAACGTCGGTTTGTTTGAAAAAACAAATATACGCGATTTAAATCCGGAAAAATAGTTTTATTTCCTATGTGTAACAATCGCGAAAACCTAAGAACTCGACAGTCAACCGTGACCGTGGGTCCTGTAAAGGGCCCGAAACGTCGGTTTGTTTGAAAAATCAAATATACGCGATTTAAATCCGGACAAATAGTTTCATTTCCTATATTATAATTTCGTTATAACTTTATAAGTCGTAAAATTTCTCGATTGTTCTCGTAAACTATGGTTAACTGTGTTGATTACTCATTAAGTCACTATTTGTTAGTTATAACTAATATAGGAACTACTTATAATGTGCACGTAACTGTTTGTTGACCCCAATAAAAAAAACTTCTAGGGTATGAACAATCGACAATCCACAGACGTCTCATGAAAAACGGAATAATTAGTAGTAGGAGTACAAACTACCCTCTCACCTCTCAGAAAAATATTTTATTACTATTCAGGTAGGTAAAAGCTTTATTTTCCTAATTTCCACTTAGATTAAACCTTACGATACACTCAGAACTTTCTCACCTCTCTGGATTCAACATGATACTCTCAGTGCTAAAAGCAATCGCTCTTCTACATAAAGATTTCTTATATAATTTTTATAAATGTGGCTGTACTTCTACAACAGGTTCATTGTTGTTACTTTCAATATTTCTTTGCGCGCGCAGAACAGTCGCCGCCTCCACCGCGTACCCTAATCAGACTGAAGGTACTTTCATTCCCCATGCGCTAGTTATAGCAGAAACCTCTAAGCGAGCAACCGCCGCGAAATGAATTGTTCGTGTCATGGTTTGTTTACGTCCATTAAAAACTAAAGTTTAAAAAAAATGTGGGTTGACGTGAGTGGGCGGGAAAGGCAAAATTACTTGAATCAAACAAATGGATCTTTTATTCCAGGGTAAGTATATATTTTCTATGGAAAAGCTGCAATGTAAGTAGAATAATTCGGTATATTCAGGGCAAGCTTGGGGTGCCTTCGATCCTTTGTGACATTAACAATTATTTATTAACTCGTTTGAGTTGTTTATTGTTGCTATCCAGTAACCCACGTATGTATGCACGCCGTGTAACTACGACTTAATGAGAAGTCGGTTTTAGTATTTCAAAACAAAGGTCTTCTTAAAAAAATATATTTGAAAATACAGACATATTCTGAGTAAGTTACATCAAGCACTTTTAGTACCTATAAATAATGTTTACTTCAAGTCTCTATTAAAGCTATAGAGTAGGCAAGTACTCTATTTGAGTACTTGATGATAGACTAAATATTTGCTGTTGGTAGGTATACATAATTATAACAGTCGCTCTCTTACTATAACTGCCATATCTGACAAGCAATTGAGATCATTGTAACTAAGCGAGACCTTAGAGGATAAAAAAAGTAAAGGAAGTGAGACATAAAATCGTGCTCAGCTTTCAAAAGTGAACATTATTCGATAATCGTGTCTTCCTTTTTTTAAATGTTGAACGACTGATGTTGAAACGACCTGCACTCCAATATTGAAGTACTAAACCGAAAATAATAACAAAAACACGAAGGAAATTTTACCTGATTAATGCTATCTTTGCTAACTTATTATTACGGTGGCTAGGAGACGGATAATAATTGTTAGTGGAGTGAATGTTAAAATTGCACCAATGTGTCCGAAAGCGTCCTACTAGTGTTCAAAACGCACTGCAAGTCTTTACACTCCGGCCACTTTAGTCGGGTTTTCAAGTAGGTATAAAAAGTTTACGGCAGGTACTATTCCTCCACTAGGTATACATTAATGCACGTTTATATGTTATATGTATTTATATTTTATGAAGACCTCCGTGACTCAACGGTGAGAAAATTCCGGGTTCGATTCCAGGTAGGGCCAATTTGACACTAGAACATAAATTTGGTTTCGATCTGGATATACTGCGTAGTTCCCCGAGGTGAATTCCATTGCTCTGGAACCGGTATTTTATTTTTATTTGGGTTAACAAACAGAAAACAAAATTAAAATTTATAACTAATTTGTTTATAGTAAATATGTAGGTAAATGATTGTATTGGGAAAACAATTATTTCACAAAATATCGACTTTGAAATAAATGCAATTAAAATTTCACTGTGTCAAAAATTGTTTTATTTTCACAAATGTCATCCCACGTTGATTTGTAACGGATGATTCCATATTTTATGTTTTGCCAAAATTTGAAAGTGTTGGCATTTTATAGCAATTATGTCGCGTTATCCTAAATTAAGTAATTTTCGAAATGCGAAAACCAATTATCTGGAATTTACACAGGTAAATTCCAGATAATTGGTTTTCGCAGTATAACGACGGCATCATCAACACCATTAACCACTAATTACTACAACAAAACTGAAAACTGGTGTGACGCACATCTATAATAAATAGGAAAGAAAAAAATAGTAACGTACGATTCAAATCACTTCAAACAATAAAACGTTTGATTCCAAAAAGAAGTAGTACGACACTGTATATATTTTTTTCTTGATTTTTAACGGTTGGTGTTTTAGCCATTTACAAAGCTTTTAATATAAAAATTAAATTTGGAAACGGATTTAGGAAAGTGATAACAAGTAATATTGTCTGACATAAGTTAAAACGACATGGAATTCCTTAGGTTGAGACAAAGTAATTGGTGTGGTTTATATCTCTTTTCTTTTTCAAACGTTACTTACATAAGTACAAAAAAATAGTTTAAGGTAAACATGCTACCTAACTAAATAAATCGAACACAATGAAAAATTCCTTGGATCTGACAGGACACGAACTTGCGTCTTTTTTATGATACCAAATGACGAACAATCGTGAACCTGGTAGTAAGGGACAGCCTGCCCATAGCAGTTGCAGTGTCATTCAGAGTTTTAAATCGCAAAGATGTGAAGGACACTGCCACTACCGTGCCCTGAGACATCAGTTGAAAAGTCCCTCATGCCTGTAATTGCACCAGCGCAGCGTCCTGATTTTGATTTAAATCGGAATGTATTCGATCGGGTAGTCTCGAAATCAGATGGGTTTCTGAGCGAGAAGTTGAACCTGATTCCTATTTATATCTTTGTAATTTGTGAATTAAATCAATTAGTGTTCCGATCAGAAATGTCAAAAGTTTCTGATTGGCCAGTTGTGAATCGCAATTATGCGCCTCGACCCGGAAAAGCCGCAGTTTCAAACAAAAATAGAGGCAATCAAAATCAAGCTGCAGCACCCTTACCCTT